CGCACGAACCTATGGGACCAGAAAAGCATGAGCTTGTAAGTTATTCCCATAATAAGTCTTTGAATCACTGATGATTCCAATTTTAACAAAGGATCTCGCATTGACTGCGCAACCCAACGTGGACTACGTTTGATCCCAATCGTCACCGAGTTACTAGCCTCCATTATACTGTGACGTCTGATACCGTTTAGGGAGACAAACATCCGCGAACAACAAGCAGGTTTTCGATTAGGTTGCGGTTGTATTGACCAATTCTTCACTCAGAGTCAAGTCCCCGAGCTACGCCAGACGTCGACCAATGGTTGTCATGTTCCTTGACCTAAAACTAGTCTTCGACTCAGTTGATCGTGAATCCCTTATGGGTTTACTCCTTCGCAAAGGAATGCAGCAAAAGCATGTGAACAAACTGAGTTCATTCCGCTCACATACCTCTGCTAGCGTAAGAGTCTACCGCGAGCTGAGTAAATCGATCGTACCTAGCAGCGGTATTCATCAAGGGTGCCCACTTTCGCCATTCCTGTTTAATTTCGTCATAGACGAAATACTGGAGAACGCACCAAGTGGTCTCCAAAATGTAGGACCTGAATGAGCAGTAGGGGAAAAGCTGTGCGATTTGGAGTACGCTGACGACATCTGTCGCTCTGTTCGGCATGTGCTTTGCACCTTCCAAGTGCTAAGTGAGGCCACAAGACTGGGTGTCATCGAGTTCTGTTCTGAAACTAGACGGTCAGGAATTAGCTGAATTTGACTGCTTCTCCTACCTAGGTAGCTGCGTGACCAACGATGGCAGTGCATCGAAGGAGATAACCGCCCGCATTTCCAAGGCTCAAGCAGCGTACGTAGGACTAAAACACCTGTGACGGCGACGTGACGTGTCACTGAAGTTGAAAAGTCGCGCATACTGCGCCACTGTACGATCAGTTCTGCTTTACGGTTGTAAGACCTTGAACTAATGGGTAGAAGACATCTGTCGTTTAGCAATGTTCGACAATCGATGCTTACGTAGCCTGGCCCAAGTGGGATGGAGTGAGCGGGTTAGTAACTTAGAAGTAAGTAGTCGGGTGTTTGGGAATACATCAAACAAGAACTCGCTATCTCATCGAATCCAACTCAGTAGGCTCCATTGGTTAGGACACGTTTTGCTTATATCCGACGGTCGCCTAAAGCAACTCACCTTGTTTGCAGTGGCTGTTACAAGCTGGAGGAAACCACGTGGAGACGAGGCATAAATAAATGCACAAAGCGATTAGGTAGAGCAGGTGTCTCTCGTCTTCGGGGCTGGGGTCCAAAAGACTCCGAAACCGCATGGCTGGAGACACTGAATGTCATGGCTGCGAACCGACAGCAATGGCGATCATGCTGTCACTTCTTATCGGATGAGAATACTTGAAATTGTATGTATGCACAGTTGGGATGTGTACTCTGTGTTGATCATAAAGATTCGCTTTCTTTTCCCGTCCCTAAAACTGGGCCCAATTTGTGTCCTCCTTACACATTCCCACTTATCCTGTATACATCATGAGTTTGGCAGCGATCGGTGAAGTTCGTTTCACTTTATTACGTGCACAGTGATGATGATGATGAGTAGAGGAACACAAACCAGACCTATTCAAGACCCTTTTTCACTTTTTGTCTCCTCCCTACAAATTCGTTTCTTGATGCACTAATAATGAATCTGCCATTAGAACTCCTCAGTCCCTATACTTGGCATCGGAGAATGAAGTTCTCGCGCCTCATATTCTGGTGATATCGAAGGAAAGTACTCTTGAAACTCTAGGTCAATTTGTGCAGAAGCTGATAAACCCTGCTGCAGACCGGAATTTTAAAGTAGTCAGCGCAACGAAACGAGGAAGACGCCAACCTATCCTATCCCTCAGCGTCTCTCGAACCTAAAACAATCTAATCGAGTACGGCTTACGACCCGGTTGAATCTCTCTATCTAGCTCACCATCAGTCTCAAACATTCAACCCAAACCCTCCCTCAATTCACACTGCCGCTGTGAGTGCCTTGTAGTATACACCTGAGACGACACTGGTTATGTCCCGAACAACCTTTTTTGTTGCTGTGATCGACATCCTCGTGACACATGTTCCGTAAAAGTTGCAATTTGCGAGTCGTATGGCAAGCGGGGACAGTTTCAAAGCAGCAGCTATCTCACCGTTCCTCCTCTCCTCCGTCAGTGCAGCCGTAGCTTCAGCGACCCTTACTAAGTCTGTTACCGATGTAACGGTCAACGGAGTAGCACCCAGTGCTGTGGTAGATACAGGAAGCTCAGGAAGTTATGTTTCTTAGGGGATCGTGCGCCGCAACAAATTTTTCTCCTTGACATCCATTAGTAAGATTGTCCTGGTTTCCACCCGTACGACTAGCTGTACCAGGATTCGTTGTTTTATCTCCCTAATACACAAAGATGCTCGGTACGAAAATGTCAAGCTGCCCGGTCTCCTCGAGTTATGTGCAAATCAATACTGGCACATGACTTTTTACAGCGGCACACGTCAATAGAAATCTCCTCCCAAAGAATTCATCCACTGTTATCCCAGTGTGGTCTCTCAGCCACTGCTCTTCCAGTTCGCTCTGTTTTCGCACATCTGGATATCTTTTGCTGTCCTGCTTGCTCAAAATCGAGAAGACAACGACGAAAATTTTATTCGTTCAGAGGTCGCTAGGCTATTGAACGACGAAATACTCGAACCTTCTCAATCAGGTCCTGATTACAACAAACAAACGCCAAAAACAACGGATGGTATTAGACTATAGCCAGACAATTAATCGATTCACTTTCAGTTTCTGCCACCAAAAGCCATGCACCTTCGTGCGCCGCTTTTCGTTGGTGTCTTTCGACTGCCCGTTTCGGTTAAGCTGCAGGAGACAGATAAAAGTGTAAAGTGGAACTGACGAGAATTTCAGGAGACTAAGGTTTAAAAGAAATTCAGAAGATACACGAACGCCTTTGTTTACGACGCTCAGTTTGTCTACCAATTGATTACAATTATCCCGATGTCCTCGTCTTGGTAGCCTAACTCGACCTATGTGATCGCGTCTCCTGTTTAGGATTTTCATACCCTCGCGCAGGTCTTATTTTGACCAAAGTCGCCAAATTCTGTCTGGTGAACCTAATGTCGTCGCCTTTCTTCAGTGCACGTTAGATGAGCTCGATCGACGTGAAGAGCTCAACAAAACCTTTTGTATACTTAGACAACATTGCTGTCTGTTGGAAAGAAATTAAGCACTATGGCATCAATCTAAAGCATCCCCTGTAGGCGACTGCCAAACATAGTTCAACTTTTAGTCACATTGTGTATTCCCCTTTGAAGTAGTTCGACTGCTGGGCTGTGAACTACTTAAGGTAAACGTCAAACCGGACCCGGAACACTTCGATTCTCTTCTCAGATTTTTTCCTCTCACAACAAAGAGTTTTAGGAATGTTCTCATTTTATTCCCAGTGTTTCTGCCATTTTTCGGAAAAGATTCGCCCGCTAATTACAAACAAAATCGTCCCTCTTTCTGAAGAGTTACTCTCTCCATATTAACCACTGAAATCCGAGCTAGTTCAGGCATCACTAATAGTGGAAACTGATGCCTCCTATATATTGATCTCTTCTATACTCAAGTGTTCGTCCCGTCACTTTCTTCTTGTATTCTGTCCTCGTTAGAACGAAATCATTCATCTTTGCAATACGACGTTGAAGCTATTCGAAAGTGGTGGCTGCTAGAAGCTCAATTCCAACTGGTCAACCGTACACTCGGACTAGATGAACTTAGGATTGTGCGTGAAGGTGAAATCCGAAGAATAGTCAGTTCAAATCAATCAAAACCAATTATCCCATCACTACTCACAATTAAATGTGAGTTAACTGCGAATTATCAATCGAGCCTAGTATGTTTGTGGCAAGTCAGTTCGTTACGTGCATTGAAGTCCCGACTTAGTTGGAGGCTTTTGATTGGAGTTAACAGATAGTCAACTGTCTCCTTTCGTTGCTGTTGGACCAAATAAATTTCCTGACTATCACTGAAGGCGACACCTAAACAGGCATGAATTGGCCATTTGGTTCAGCCCTAATGTGAACTGTTTGTCACATTGGTAATACATGCCTGCCATGTGATGAGTCCGGAGTTTAAATCTCGAACGAGACAGTGGATGAGCTCTAATGGGAGTGAAACTCGAGTGAAGTGCTTCCGAGTGTATGGTCGAATGGTTAACTGAGGGTTGTGCATGAAGATGAAGTCCGAAGCGTAGTAAAAAAATAAACGACGAGTATTTTCCGTTTGCCTTATACTGCCCCAACATAACTGCTCGCACCAAAAATGAGTTTGACCTCCTAGAGAGAATTACTGTGTTTAAAATTGTAACTACAAAAAATGCGCATTCAACGTCCGACTACTTCATTAATTGTCCTGCCCTCTTGTGGGAATTATAATGACCTGTTCCAAATGAGGCGTCTTGTTGTATGTACGCCAGTTTATGGATACCCTTACTGTTGTTCTTAATAAACAACTCCTCGTCCCGGCCCTCCTGTGGATATAACACTTGGTTATTCAACACCATCGGATTGAGCTGCGATAGTTCGAAAAGCAAAATCGCTTCACGGCTGAGCTCGGGTTCCATTAAAGTTGGAAAGATAAATGAAAGGGGCCTTAAAACTCGACTTTGAGGGCAAGGCCCAGGTGAACGTATGTTTTCGGTAATTTAATTATCAGGCGTCTGTATTCACAATTGTTACCAATTCACCGATATGAAGCGGTAGGTGGGAGTCAGCTTAGGATAATCGGGTTACAGAAGGAGAAAAGTTGAAAGAAAAAACGGACGCAAAGAACAGAAATCACGTTACGCTTTTGAATTACTCTCTCACTTTCGGTCGCGTTTTACCAGTTCTTGTTTACTCCATTCCCCCCCCCCTCCACCCCAGCTTTCTAGCCGGCACCAGTCGGGGACATGTGCTGTTGTTTTCTGTCCCATGTCGCAGTCATGCTTCATCAAGCTCGCACGTCCCAGTCTTTCCTACTCGATTGTGGCATCCACATACAAAACCTGTGACACATATTTCGTCTGCCTATATTCAGTCCGAATCCGCTCCTAACACACACGAGTCACTGGAACATACTTTGCTGATTCTCAGTGCCTCTGAGGATTCCCATGTCGCGGTAAGTGCCGTTTCTCAGTTAACGCAATTAGCAATCAAAATTATATACCGTGTGTTCGCCCTTTTTGTTCTCTAGTAGAACTGCATTGCTCATTTGATTCTGCTGGTGGTGCAGGATAGTCATCGTTTAAGTGAGATTAAATAAAATTTCGTACGATCGGTCACCGGCACATGGAGTACACTTAAATCTGCAAATCCTCAAACTGTGAAATTCCACCGTTGAATTTTGTGGCTAGCCGTCAATGGAAGTCTATAACAGCAGTAAGGTAATCACTTGTTCTGTACGAGCGGATGACTTCTAGTTTGTTTTCGTCGTATTTTAAAACCGAACAAGAAACGTGTTTGTGTGTTCTAGGTATAGCATAATCTTATCATTCATTATTTTATTGTTTGATTCTTTGCCAGCTTAAGCAGCAGCTCATAGTTCAACAGGGTAGTGCCAACGCGGTCTATCTGTTCCATGTAAAATAATACCGGTGGTTTGGCACAGGCGAATATTTGCCCATATTTTCAGCACAGATGTTCGTTGTGTTTACTACTATTATTACCGATCTTGTCTGTCACTGTTCTAGTAAAACGGCCCCATTTCTATCATGCCTTCTACGTACATTATCGCACACGGTGAATGTACATTCAGCGTATATGTTATTTTCAATCTGCAATGTAAAATGCATGCAATGATGTCAGGACGTGGAAACGATTATATTTCAACAGTTTCCAACCGTACTTTTTAGGCGAAATGGAGCTGGAATTCAGAGTTTCCTTCTATTTCATGCGTGTTCTTGTGCCTCTACGAGCTAACTATGGAAGTAATTTTGTGTTCCACAATAATCGCTGCATTTCGCAACATATCCTCAGACGATGGGGCGTTCTATTTGTGGTGTGTGATGAAAAACTATTCCGCTTAGCAATGTGCTGAGTTGTTTTCGTTAGAATGTGCACACGAATTCTATTCCGTTTCACATGGAATTCGTTTCTTTCTGCTCTCATAAACGAGGTAAACTACAAAGCGTGCAGATGAAATGTTAAAAATATACCAATATTGTTTAGGTGGGAAACAGGCTAATTCCATTTCAAGTCTACGCTGTCGCAAACATGTGTCGAGCCAGTCTATAGTGAACCCCGCAAGATTCAAACAACTGTACGATGTTTACCACTTGTCACGTCGGTAACTAATTTTACTTGCCGGCTATCCTCGAAAAATCAGGTACAATTTAAATGTTTCACTGGTTGGAAAGAACCAGCGGGCTGATTCATATGTACTGTACTCAAACCATACTATCACTGTTTGGCGTTCAAATTCGATCGCATTACTGTCTATCTAGCTGAATGTGTGCAAAAAACATGATTACCAATAGCAAAATTAGAAAATTAGATTTATCCTGTACAATGTGAGCACCCCATCAGTATTGTTTCTCGATCTTGTCAGCTCTCGATACCTGATTGTTTTAGTTTGTTTGATCAATGAGCAATCTGTGCGGCACTTATTCTTACTAATAAGCTTCTCTATCTTTATTTTTTTAGTTTATGATTCGTTCCATGCATGAACCGATCTACCGGTTATCATTGGACTCCACCTCAGTTATCGGCTTCGACTTCTGTCCGGTAAGACATCTTCACTGTTTTCGTCGCCCGTGATCAGGATCGTTTTTTCTGAACGGCTGACAAACGTTCTTGGAGTCCGCCTACCGCTTGGCTTAAGCCTTATTTTTCTAACTTGTGACTGGATAATGTCGTTTATCCGTTCGTAGTTCATTCTCCGATTTGATATGGGTTGTTCCCTAAGGCATTTGTAGGGCCCCAAAGTTCCCTTGCGAGGTATTGTCCCCTTCACTGATCTTGAAATACATGTGCAGAACAGCACCACCT